AAAAAAAAACGCTTCGATGCAAATCTTTAGATAGTGTTTAATTTTAAAAAATTGGTGGATTATTCCAAAAGCTTCATAAACTGCTAGTTCCTTATTAATATCCTGATTAAGATAAAGTATGTCGAATGGAAAATGGGATTATTAAAAAATATTATTTCTCATAAAAAAATTGTATTGATCCATACATTTTTCAAAAAGTTATAGCATAATAAAGTTAAAAATGTAAAATACAAAGTCTAAAATATTCACACAATAATAGCATTCGGTAGCCATTTTCACCGTGAAGATAAAATAAAGTCGGAAATTTTTTTTTTGCATAATAAAATATATTATATTAGCTTTAATTTAAGATATATATAAAAGTGTCAGACTTTCCGGAACATTTTCAAAATTTAAGTTAAAAAAATTAATTTTTTGTGAAAAAGTTGTCATTTTAAATCCTCCCCTGTGGGCATGTAATGGGTCATATATAAAAAAAAATATACTAAATGAAAAGTAATAGTATCATTCATTTATATAAAAAAAATTATATTAATTTGGTTATTTTTAAAAAAGTTATGGCATTTTTAAGAAAAAAAATTGAAAAAATTGAAAAAATTATCAATTTTTAAATTTGTAAATTTTTTGGAAGTTTCCCCCATTTACGGGGAATGAGGGAATTTTTTTCAATTTTTGAGGGTAATGTTTTCGACTAGATACGATTTGTGATCTTTTGACGTATCATTGAAAGAAATCGGTTCGGTGAGAGCTGAGAAAAAGTGGTAACAGACACAAAAAAAAAACACATCATGGTAAAATTAATACCTTCTCAACTTCGCATCGAAGCTAAAAAAATATCATGTAAAATTAATATCTCCTCAGCTTCGAATCGAAACTAATAAACATAAATTGCGGTAACAATATATCAAGTAAGAAACGGAGATAGTAAAATATTTTACGTAAAAAAAATTTTATTTTTTTATCGATTTGTTAAATGAAACGACGATATATGTAAAATTTGATTTAACAGACACAAAATAATAATTCATAGTAAAATTAAATATATTGACAAACTAATATAACATAATTAAATAATTTATAATAATTATTGATAAACGTCAATTAATAGTTTTCTCAATTTATTTTATAATTTGTTTTAAATCTTTCATAGTTTAAAACTATAAAAGAACTTCGTAAATTTTACCTACAAATATTGAAACTATAAAGAATCAAAATTGTATAAACTAAGATATAAATAAAATACATTTAAAAATTGTATAAATAATGTATAATAGAATTTACCTTCATTAAAAATCACACAGGTTATTACCAACAAAAATGATAACAATTGCCAATACTAGAATATAATAAAATGATTTTTAATATTTCAATTGAGCATCCCAAATAATGTGTACTACTCACCTTCATTTTTATTCTAAGTGTTAAATTATGAATAACTATTAACAATTTTTATTATTACAATGCTTATAAAAAATCAACTACTAACATNTTACAATGCTTATAAAAAATCAACTACTAACATAATTCATTCCTACTTCTGTATTTTTAACACGCTTATATTAGTTTCACGTGTATGTTGTTTGTTGTTTGTTGTTTGTCGTTTGTAAGTTTGTAACTCCACGCGGCACGTGTTATTATGTCGCGTATCCCGTCGTGTATGACCTTGAGACTATACTGTTGTAACGCATTCGCCCCACCCCGCTCACCACTCGTAGAGAACAATATTTTCCAACCCGTAGACACGCGCTTATCATCAATTATATATATATATATA